CAGGCCCTGCCACACTTTTCTTGAGGGGCAAGCCAAGAGAGGCTCCATATCATTGTTCTACAAGAGTTTAGATCTGCAGATGCAAGAAAAGGAAAACTCAATTCCTGCCAAGGACAGAAGACAACATTGCATATCCAGATAGGGAATAGATACACTGACTTGCATGCCATTTTTCCGTGACACTTCCCTGAAAACAGCTTTTTTACTCTGTATTTTCCCCACTCCTCAATATACTGTCAAGTGTGAGTAAAACTTCTTAAAATTAAAAGCTTAAAAGTAAACAGTTCACATGGAAAAAGAGCAGGAACAGACCCAGAAGAATAAGTGCGAATCAACGAGGTCCTTTGGCCTCTTTGTTTAAAACCCGAGTTCAAACTGAGGTGGGAACACACACACAGAAGTGCTCCACAGAAGAAAAGAGGAAGAATTTGGGAAAAAAAATATGGAAAAGCACACAACAAACTTTCAGTGTGACAGAATACAGTTTGGTAACTTAGATCTTGCACAGTCAGTAAGTAACAAGGTCTAAACTGCATCAAGCTTGTGGTATATTAATTGGCCTTAACTGAAGGAGTCAAAGACTTCTTCCTACAAAAGCAAAGATATAGTGAAGGTATCCATCACGCCCAGTGTTTTCATACTCCCTTCCCATTCAGAGAGAAAATAATCTCCTCTTTCCAGTAGCAATTTAATCCAAAATATTAAGTTGGCCTTCTCTGTTTTTTTGTGGTGCCAGCAACTGGAGAGACCAGAGTAAGTGAAACCAAGAGCCAACAACTGCAGTGGGGGTGCAGCCCCCGTAGCTTGAATATCCAGGTGCCAGCAACTGGGAAGAGCAAGATCCAGGGGCTGCTACAGGGCAGAGAGTGACTGAGCCCAGCTGCTGGAGACACCCACTTTTTTTGGGTTTGGGGCGGGGTGTTCCCCCACTAACAGACCTTCAACCTGAACCACCAGAGAAGGGTACAGTATGACCATTGCCGCTGTTTGTGTTCATGCAAGTGCTCTGTGCATGTGTTGTGTTGCTCTGTATATATACACGTATGTACAGCACACCTGTATCCAAGTGTCTGTGCCTATGGGAATACATGATCAGTCTTGCCAGCTGGACCAGGAGCACTGAGCGGCAACAGCCTCACCTCTGCCAGGAGGCTGTCAGATTCACTCATCCCTAACAAAACTGTTCAAGTTTGATGAACAAGTCTTGCCCTTTCCTTCCTGCCCCCCATGACTCCCCTGTTATAAAAGAGCAGGCCTCTCGGATGGCTCCTTTCCGCACACTCCAGCTCAGATTCCTCTGCCCCACGGCAGTGCTGCGCGCCCAGCAGTGGAAGCACTGGCCGGCTGCCCTCCGCACACAGGCCCTGATGAGCTGCAGGTGGCCCGCCAGAGCCCATGTCTGAGGCACTTGGCCCAGCCTCGGTGGGGGGAGCTGTGCAAGCAGCTTGGCTCCTCACAGCCGTGCAGCGCCCTGCTCTCTCTTCCGCTCCCCAGCACATTCGGGAATACCGCATTCCTTGCTAGCACCTTAGCCAGAAGGCTGTGCGCGGACTGCTGGCCAAGAATAACCTCATCGATTAACAAGATTTTCATTTCAAGTGGTATCTTTTAACAGAATTTTGACGCAAAGCTGAAACTATGTTGAAGTTGTACACCACCAAATTTTTCTCTCTCGTACTGCAGCAAAGTACAGCGTTTATAGCCTTCCTTAGGCCCCGTTACACGAAGCTGTTAAGGAAGAACACAATCCAGCTCCTTTGAAGTGTTAAGAGCTCATAATGTAAACTTGAAAACAAAACTCAAAGCAGAATTTTTTTAAAGTCTGTTTTATCTTACAGGATTATACAGCTATTACTTTCCTGCATAAAAGGCCAAAGTATCTGCACTGTGACTCAGAACATACAAACTGCTAATCCCAGTATTACTATGTTTCGTAAAAGCAAAAAGGAGACTGTTCCCAGTATTAACAGTTCCAAAAGAGCATCTAACTACAGGAAATCACTTGCTGCAGGAAGTCTACGTACGCAATAGACTGTGCCAAAATTAATCTCTGGTATACCAATATCATCAACTTACATAAAGAATGCACACGATCCTTTGAACCTAGGTGGTACTAGCACAAGTAACACTACTAGAGCATTATCACAGTTACACTGAGAAAAACAATTTGCGTTATCTAGAACACTTATACTGCAAGTATCACAGTATGTCTAGTTCTAATTGATAGTGCATTACACCATCCTTTGTACCCAGAAGAACTCTATATACAGCAGCCAGTACTGCTGGAGTGAAACACAACTGAGGCTTCTTTCTATCTTGGCAGTAACTGAAAAATCCCTCTACTTCAAGTTCCAGGACTTACTTTACAAAGTTCTGGACCAGTCGCCAAAAATTCACACTAGGGAAAAGCGTAGGCGGATATTGTTTCAAGGTCCAATATCTCATGACCCATCATAACTCAAAACAAATGCTCCAAACCACCGCAAGTTAATTCCAAAGTCTAATGGTGCAAAACACCCATTACCTTGGAAAGTCTCTTTGTTCACTGAAATCACTCCAATCTATCATGCTGCATCCCTACCCAGCTATTCACTCCCACTCTTCAGAATCATGCGCCAAATCACATTATCACACAGACAATTAGCTTCAAGTATGTTGCATGAGATCTTTCCCTCACCAGATGCCTCAATACACACTTGGACTACTGCTTGGCTAGGTTTTCCAGCATACACACCCATTGCCATGCTGGAAATGCTCATCTGCCCCCCATACAGCACCTACATGCCCCCAGTACTCCCCAGCTCCCGTATTCTCACAGGCATGTTTGCTTCTCATTCTTCAGCTCTCTATTGCTCTGCTGCCTTATTTAGCTCATATGAAGAAAGCAGATGACAAGTCATGGAGGCAGACCAACAGGGGGGAAAAGATTTGAGCACAGCTAATGAATACAAAACATGATTTACATTAATTTTTGAGCTATTCAAAAATAAGCACCATGAACAATCTTAACCTGGAGAAAACCTCAGAAGGATGGTTGTAGTACTGTTACCTATTACACCAAATTAAGCAGTTACTGCAAGAACTGTAGAGATCCATTTGTAATATGGATGGATTGTAATATGGATGGACTGTAATATGATTCTTCTACTTCTCAATATTTTATTATTAAAACATCTGTTAACACTTGAGAAATCATACTAAGTTCAAGTCAACACCTCTGCCACAATTTGCTTAGACAGCTCTCCACCACCATGACAGTTTCCAAACCTTTGCAAGACAGCTCTTATTCATCCCACATTTTGGCCTTCACAATGTTTTCACAACATGACAATTTAAAGTATTTTAAAATAAACATTTTTTCCCCCTTCAGTAGTCTTCACTGAAGAGCTAGCTATTCAAACTACTTTAATTCAAACCCGCTAAAACTTGAGTTCTTAGGTACAGGAATAATACAGATATACAGTTAATTGTCAATTGGTTAGAAAAATCTATAGATTTGTGTTCTTCATGTCAGGCTTTTTTTTGCCCTGATTTGCAAAGCAAAATGTTTGAACGCATCTCCTCATCTCCCTCCCTCCCACCCCCCTTGTCTACTTCATCTTCAAAGGAAACTAGCTAGTTTTCCAAACAATCCAAGGACTTCAGTCATAATCCAATTATTGAGAAATGAAATCCCAGATAGTTTAATTAAAATAATACACAGGATTATCAAAAAAGTGCATACATACTGATAGGATGACATTCAATTCAGATTATTCAAATTATTGACCAGGGAATATAATGTATCAGGACTACAGCATCTATAAAAACAATTCAAGTATGAAACTACAGACTCCTATGCAGGTGCAATATGCAAAATTTAACTCATTTTAAACACAGCTATACTTCCAGTGATTGTGTTCTCAACACCTTACACAGTTCAGAGTCTCAAGGAAGTAAATTTGAGTGTGCACATGTGAAGTACCTGTGTAAGAGGCTACTGGCAGACTAACGCCTGAATTCAGGCAAGTCAAAACAGTGTAATTTGGTGGGAAGCAATCAGAGAATCAATACCAGTAAAAAAACCACAAGTACTGTTGTGGGAGAAGACATTCATGGAAATCAATTACACCTTAACGACTCTGCCTACAGAGATGACCGAAAAACCCAAAATGGAAAAAATAGCCAAAAAATAAGAGAAAATAACAAAGAAGCACAAAGAAAGCCTGTAATCAAGTAGAAATGAGATTACACACAACCATTAATTTGCTGTTGAGAAACAGAAAATTATACATGGAGTGTGATCATGCTAGGATGAAGAAAAAAGACAACAAAAATATTATTCCTAGCATAAGCAAAGACACCAAACACACAAGAGCAACAAGAGTCGAGATGAAAGCAACAGGTGCTAGATAAGGGTTTCAAGCCTACATGTAAGCAAGACAAATTTAAGATTACTTCAAAGAAATAAATGAAAAAAAAATGTACTACATATGGAAGAATTCAGCAACAGCAAACTTGTAAACACTGTTGGTGGAGAAGGTTTAAGAAAAAACCTGAAACAGGCAGGCCACAGAAGGAAAAATTACTTTTGGAGGTGAACTAAATAAGACACAAGATAGACCAAAGAACACTGGGCTGGATCAAGTTCAATAAGAAAAAGATAGACAGGAAACAAGTGCAGCAAACATGAATGGAACACCAGAAATACGTAAGGGCAGAGAAAGAAGAGGAAGAGAGGGAGAAAATACGTTCAGTTTGGGGGTTTTTTTTCTTTAAGACATATGAGAGCACCATGTAATGAAAACACAGAAGAAAAATCCAACAGAGGTTTGTTAATCAGTAAGACACAAGAAATACCACTTTGACTTTGCTGAGTGGTGACTGTTTGGGTGGGTTCAGTGAAGTGGAAAAAGAAAAACTAGTTTGGAAGATTAAGAAACAGATTGTATGGGTAAACAGTGTATCAGTACCCCAGTGAAAGAAAAGGCAAAGGTTAGAAAGGATCACAAGAATTTCAGGCAATTGGCCTATTTCAGAGCAAAACATAGCAAAGTCACTGGAAGAAAAGTATTTAAAGAAGGAGGATGCTGTGCATGAGTGAAAATAAAAAGGATGAAGGTCAAGTTTATAGATGAAAAAGGTAGATTAGTTTCAGAATCATGAAAGTAAAGATTCACAAGTTCAAGAAAAAAAGTTATGATAAATCTTGCAGGTACTCATACCACACAAGTAATAGCACAGAATAATCAGATGTTTTTCATTTGTATTTCATCAAATATACTTCATTTATTATTAGTTTAACAAGAACAAAATAAGCAAGCTAGAATAAAGCATTTATAGCACGCTGTCCTACATAATTCTCAGATTGCAGGCAGCAGAACATCACAGCATCAGGGCTTAGTAGCTCAAAACTAGAAACTCTGTGTTCTACTTCATGTCCACTCATGAGGAATGAGGAAACAGTATTCAAACACAAAACAGGGTTAAGAACTTGCCTCTGTAATAACTGATCACTGTGCAGGGACACACACTGTCCATCTGCAAATTATGCTACACATTTTTCTGCTTCTAAACACACTCCCTCTATTCCAGCTGGCATATCTGTTCATGTTTTGGTTCCTCTTCAGTCTCTCCCTGAGAACTGTTATGTCTGGTACATTAATATACAGCAATCTAGACAAGGAATGAACAGAGAAGATAGATTGAGACTATAACCAAGAATCTTTTGAAGCATCCCTATAAAGTCTGAAACTTGGTTTTTCTGAGGACTTCTGTTAAGCATTCCAATATGCAGTACCCCAAATGTAACTTTAAACTTGAAAAAAAGGTTTTGCTCCTCTCCTGATGTTTAGAACATTTTTAAAAGGAAACATTTCTGGGGAGACCTTATAGCAGCCTTACAGCACTTAAAGGGGGATACAGGAGAGATGGGGAGGGACTCTTCATCAGGGAGTGCAGTGACAGGACGAGGGTAACAGCTTTAAGGTGAAAGAGGGTGGATTTAGATTGGATATTAGAAGAAAGTTTTTTCCACTGTGAGGGTGGTGAGGCAGTGGCCCAGGTTGCCCAGAGAAGCTGTGGATGCCCCATCCCTGGAGGTGTTCAAGGCCAGGCTGGATGAGGCTTTGAGCAACCTGGGCTAGTGGAGGGTGTCCCTGCCCATGGCGTGGGGGGGGAACTGGATGATCTTTAAGGTCCTTTCCAACCCAAACCATACTATGATTCTATGATAACAGAGCTAAGAGACACACCAAACATTTGCGTTACTCATCTCACTCTCCTTGCAGACACATGCCTCTTCAGTTTCAGTTCTGCTGATGCTACTTTTAATTACTCTTTTGCAAAACCTGAACAAGCTACACCAAACAGCAGTGCCTGAAGCAAGAAGCCCAGTTGACCATCAACAATACAGTAAGACTAGCAATACAGAAAGCAGTATGAAAATGCATTAGGTAAGCACAGTACTTATTTCCTAACTAAACTGGTCTCCAACACAGGCTTTCACAGAATTGTTTTCCCTCAGTTGATTAATTTAGCCTGAAAGAAATAAAAGGTAAAGCATAAGTTATTTTCCCCAAAAAACTTCTGAGGTTGCTATAATTACTTTTACAAAGGTTAAAATCCAGGATCCTCAGCGATCTGCTGTAAGTGCTAATCAACATTTTTGATACCATAATCGTAGCCTCAAATAGATTTAGACGGGCAGTTCAAGCTCCCAAGCAAATGAGGAAGGATATCTGAAACTCTTTTTTTTTTTTTTTTTGCTCTTTTTTGTAGAAAAATACAAGTCTGAAACATGATTTAAAAGCACTATTACAAATAAGTACGGCAACTTCCATTTAATTCTAGTAAAGATACCACTCAAATAAGAAGAAAAGCTATAAATTATTCCAAGTAGAAAAAGATATTTATTCTTTTTCACTAAAGAAATTCAACAGTAAATAGATATTGCTAACTACAGAACTATCACAAGAACAAACCATACAGTACCCTGAAGCTGAGAGCCAGGAATTGGTCAAGAAAAAACAGTTTAAGCAGAAAAGTAAGTGTGAATGTATTAGTTTTCATCTTTCTTTAAGATAGAAGACAGGAAACATGCAGATGCAGAGAAAAGGAGTTGACAGAGAAAGAAAAAAGCATCCCCTAAAATGGCTGCGAAAAAGTGCGCCTAACATGCATGGTACAACAACAACAAAAAAAAAGTGTTGACCCAAATAATTCGTCTCTTCAGAAAGGAACTAACATGCTGAACTACATTTTGGTAGCCCATAAAGTTATTATGAAATCAGCTTGCTTGCCAACTACTTTGTAAAAATACGGAAAATGCAGCAAATTGTGAGATGAGGAGAAAAGATACACAAGCATATGCAAGTGAGAGTTCATATAAAGTTTGCATTTACTTTCTTTCAAGCTATTAAGTGAAAAAGAAGTACCTAATAAAACTCATCAATCATAAATACCCATCAAAACACTGAAAGACATGGAGAAAACAATTCTCTACAAAATAATCTACCTTCAACTCCCTCCCTCTCACCCATCCCTAGCCTTAAGGGAAACAAGCAATTATTTCTTAATTATTTTGTGAAGCAATGTTAACTACTTTTCAGGTTGCTCATTAGAATCTAACCTACGAAACCTAAAGACAAAACTTGGATGCAAAAACAGCAAGATCGATGCTACTTCTTTCCTAGAGAGTCAGAACTTGCAACAGCTTAACCACAACACATTTGAAAAGTATGCTAAGATTTTATTTCTTGGTTGACCCCCTCTTAATAGAAGTTATGCTGATAATGGTCCCCTCGTAAAAGAGGAACACATGTACTCCTTCTATGGAAAAACAATAATGGGACAGTATTAGCTTTTCCATGGAGTTTTTAATTATTAACTAGAAACAAAAAGAAAAGCTAGTATCCTGCAAGTCTACAGGCCTGCAGTGCACTTCTGTAGCCACAACCGGTCTTTTCATTACAGCTGGCTACACTGTTCCAAGAATACTGCTTAACAGCAGAAAGCATAAACCAGTAAAAACCTCAGATGTCAGTGACAATCTCTAAAAGGTAAAAACATATTCTCCATATTGTAAAAACTAATTCTTGTGGAAAATTTACTACTACATCTTCATTTTTGCAATTTCACAAGCAAGAAAGTAACAGGAGGGTTTACTCCTTTTAAATTAAAAGCTTCTGCCTTGGGGGTTAGCAAAATTTCTTCGTGCATACCTGCAAATACCTAGCATGGATCTTTGTCACTGTACCAAACTTCTTGGCATATTCCAACCACACGTCGTTATTACTAGCAGTCTTACAAAACAACTGCAGCCATCAGCAGAACATGGTAGTGTTATACCATACCTTCTGGTAAACTATAGAGCACACGAGGTCTTTAACAGCAGAGAGGGACAGGTCCTGAGCTTCAATGGTGACAGTCTCTCGAGTGAGACCAATCTGCAGCAGGAAGGAGATCCCATGCATAGAGCCCCGGGAGTTGGTGAGGCTCTGGGTACTGAAACTGCCATTGGAGAGTCGACTGGAGAGCCCCGACTGGGGACTTGAAGACAAAGTTGGGGTTTGTGGTGCAGCAGCATGACACGTAGATGGGGAAAACTTCTGTAAGGATGGGGGAGACGAGTCGTTTGCTGACATCTGACTTGCTTTACTCTGTCAAGATCTCCCTAGTAGTCAAATTCTAAGAAAAATATGTTTTCAGTTCTTGGTTTGAAATGAAAACAAAGATAATATAACTTTCCCTTTCTTAGTTCAGTAAAACACCCCTGACCAGTAAAACTTAATTTTCCCTTTCATTCTGTGCAAGCCAAGGAGTAAAACAATTTCAGCTGCAAGTTACTTTAAATTAAAGGTTCTCTTTCCGCAGTTACAATCAGCTGATCAAAAGCAGATTGCCTGTCCTTTAGCACCACGTCCGGACAACAGAGGCTTACATAAAGGCCCCACAGAAATGCATCAGCTCTGCTTTTTCATACTTGTCCTTCATTTTTATGTATTAAAAAAAAAGCTGGAAACACAGATGAAAATAAACGTCAGTAACTCACTAAAAGTATCCTCATTCACCTAATTCCACAGATCATATCTTAAATGTAGACTCATCTTCACACAGATAGCCTTTTAGAATTAAGAAAGAAAAAAAAAAAAAAGGTGTATCCTTGAGCAACAACAGAAGTCCATGCATGTGTTCCTCCTTCAGAAAGTCTTCTCTGAATTCACAGGACACGGTTAACTTGGAGATCAGTGAAGTTATCCGATTTCATTTTTATAAAATATTTTAGCTCATGAAATGCAGGAGCAGAATGTCTGAAGACACAATCACATCAAATGTAATCTCTAGCTTCACCCAGATAATCTCCAGCATTTTGAAGCGTTGTACTCTGCCTGTAGGGGAAAAGATAAAGTTGTTATTTCACATGAAATGCACAAAATTGCATAGCAAATTCATAACCACTCTGCTTTGAAACAGCAGGATCACCAATTCCTTGCACTCAAATACGTTATGCGAGTAACATTTTGTACTTATAACTTGAACTTATCTGTTTTCCCACTGTATGATACTGCCCAATATGTTACCACATCTTTTAATTAGTGTTAATTTAACAGAGCAAAGCACTTCAGTTAAGAGGAAATTTTTAAAAAAGCAAAAAAAGCGGGGAGTAGACCACAGCTCTGCTCTGTAGATGGATACTGAGAAGCTGGTGGCTAGGAAAGGATTAAATGCATTGAAATGTCCAAAAACCCATAATGTCAGAACTCAAAAAACCTGTGTGCAGCACGTACTCAGGATACCATTTTTTATTCAAGACAACTGAAGAACATCTTGCACAAACTCTAACTGTACAAAAATATGCACAGCATACAATTGAGCATTGGCTCCCTTAGAAAAAAATCATTTAACGCTCACTTTCTCATTAAAAAGGCAAGTCTGTTACAACCTTTTAAAATAAATCATTTCATGAGCACAGCCTCAAAATATTTGTAACAAGATGCTGTTTTACCTGATTCAATATTTCAAGCATTTCATGAGCAACTCAAATGCACAAAAAGAATGATTTTTAGATTCCCCATGCAACTTCAGCCACAGGAAAAGTTAGCTGTCAATGCAAAAGTGGTTCAAGTACACAGAAATCACGTATTGCTAACAGTTTTTAAAGGAGCAGAGATGCATACAGGACACCAAAATCAACAAGTTCACATTTTTTCCCTTCCCTTACTAAGATTAAATGAAATGAAATTTTAGAAAATAAATGCTGCAGCTTATCACAGAGTATGAACCGTCTTTCTAGAAATAACACTGACATCTGGTAAAACAGTCCATTTAATAGATTACACACTCCTGGTATTTACCAGTAAAATAACTCAAAAACTCACTGCCACTGCATTCTAAAAGTTAGATAAGAAAAGAGAGGTACGGGAACTGCAGTACTGGAAGGAAAATAAGCTCTTGGTTCTGTGATAAAAATTCTGAACAGGGGGTTCAGATAAGAGAGAAAAAAATTGAAACCTTCTCGATTTTCAGCACAGGTTTCCACAAACTGTTGTCTTCAAATACTCAACAGCTGGACACTTACCAATGACAGCTGAAAAGACCACTTCTGCCTTAAAGAACACACTAAACATGATACGGATGCAGGTCATAAACAAGAAGAAAAAATAGCAGCAACAGTAACATTTAAGCACCTTTCTAAACAAAGCAGCTTCACAGAGCTTTCAACTTTGCTTGAAGATGACTTATTTTTGTTTTCTCCCTATCGCTTTTCCCTCCCTCTCTCACTTCTCACAGATACCAGAGACAGCAAATACCAAGCCTTAGGGGTGAACTAAAAACCACTAATGCCTAACCAACTTAATAGAAAATGGAAAAGCCATATGATGTGAAAGAAGTAATGGGGCTACTAAGCAAGTGTAATTTAGACAGTGAAAACACGCTGCAAAAGCTCACCTACAGCTGCCTAATTAGAACGGTAATTATATTTACCAAAAGCATGATGCATTTGCATTTACAAAGCCTTTCCATACCACATAAGCCTTTAATGAAGCTTATTTTTACTACTTGGTAGGAAAGAATGGATCTTTCTAAGAAAAGAAAACCACGGAAACTGCTCACTTTGTAGTCAGGATTCTTTAATCCTACAGTTCTGTATTTTTTGTTAAAAAAACCCCTACACCTAAAAAGCAGAGAGGCACAAGGGCTATGAGAGGAGCCCAGCTGCCCTCTTCCCCCGCCGCACAGCCCGCAGCCCCCCTGCCAGCCTGCCCTGGCCGCAGAGCCGCTGACCCTCCCCTTCCTTTGGGGGCTGCTCCCAAACCGGGCAGCTCTCGGGCAGCTTCTCCAACATCTGGCACCTCAGCCGCCCTCCTTTCCCCCCGCTAGACACCCCACGGACCTCGAGCCCCGCTCCCAGAGGCTCCTCTCGCTCTTCTCACCCCCGCTTTCCCGCTTCCCGCCCGCAGGGAC